TCCCGGCCAGCAAGTGGCGTGGTGGTTAAGGTGGCTGGATCCCACACGGCCAGCGGCACAGTTCAAGTGCTGGACCTGGCTGCTTGAAAAACACTCTGGGTGCGTGTGTGTGCACGCCCAAAATCCTGAGAGGAGAATGGAGAAGGGACTGTGGCATGGCCATCGCCCCTGGGGGTGCTTTCTCACTTTCCCTCTCTCTCTGTCTCTCTCTGGTGAGTGCCCTGACCCTATTGCAAACACAAAACAAAACAAAACAAAACAATTTAGCTAAGTGTAATAAATATTTACTGGATTCCTACTGTACATATGCTGTACAGAACTAAGTGACAGGGCAGAGAGGAGACGACTGTTCTAGATAAATATAAGAGGGGCACTGGCCAACAGCTGGAGGGGAGGAGGACCTCACTGCACCCCCTTCTCTTCCACTCTCTCTTGGGATTTGGGGCACATATCCACATGGTCCTGGCTTGCTTTTCAAACTGCAGGATCCAGGACTCAAACTGCTCCATCAATCATGTGGTATACAGTCACTTTAACCACCACGACACCATCAGGCCCCTAAGTCTTATTTATATTTTAAGAATTATTTTATTAATTTTATTTGTTATTACTCTCTCTCTCTCTCTCTTTAATTTGACCAAAGAGAAAGAGAGAAAGATAAAAAGCAAGCCACCAGGTCTGGGACTTGAACTGCTATCCACCATATGGAAGTCCAGTGCCTTAACCACCATGTCACCTGCTGGCCCCCTTAAGTATTATTTTTTAAGTTTATTTGTGATTGATAGAAAGCATGAAAGAAAAGGAAGGAGATTGAGATAGAGAAGCCTTTTGACAGGGCCTTGTCACACCACAATCCCCTTTCTTAGGGACATCGCACACTCAAGAGTGTTTTCAAGTCAACCTGGGGATTGAAACCCTCAGTCAGCCACTTTAGCACTTCAGTTCAGCTTGCTGACTCTCTACCAGATTGGGCCAAGATCTGCAGAAGGAACTTCCCTGAAAAAATCAGAAGAACAGGGAACCAGCAGTTAGCATAATGGCTATGTCGCTGGACTCCCACGTAGTCGACCGTGGTTCGTGTCCCGGACCCGGTGGCTTAAAACTCACGCCGGGCGCGTGTGCGTGCGTGCCCAAGATCCCGAGAGGAGAATGGAGGAGAAGGGATTGCGGCGTGACCATCCCCCCTGGGGGGGTGATTTCTCGCTTTCTGTCTCTATGTCTCTGTCTGTCTGTCCGGAGAGCGCACGCGCCCTACAGTGAAAATCTCTCCAAAAAAAAAAAAAAAATCAGAAGAACAGACACAGAGTGTAGAAAACCCTGGAATATGCTAAATAGCTAGTATGGCGGAGCATAGGCTG